AAATCCTGCTTCTATAAGTCTTTGCACTTGCCCACGGATGCATGGTATGACGCAACACCCAACAAGAATGAGTACATTCATTCTACAGAATGAATTCTCTTGCAGAACTACTACATTCTCTTGCAGAACTACTACAGCTGCAAGAGAAGTAAGAATTGAGGCTATGATTTCTTTCCATTTATTGAACCATTTTTCTAGCCACCATGTGAGGGGTTCATTTACTCCTGAGTTTTTGGCTAACTCATTGGACAGGGCAGTTAGACTTTGCAATGCCTTTGTTATACTTCATCACGGGCGGTATTGTTTGGGATGAAGGTGCAACTGAGTTTTAATCATGACGCAAACTCCTCCTCTTTCTGCTAATATTATGTCTAAGGCTATTCTATTTTCCCAAGCCATCTGGCTAGTAGGCCCTAATTGCTCAGCTATTCCTTTAACAGTATCTCTAGTGTAGTTAATAAACCGCTGTTGGTTGTAATAAATGTAATTTATCCAATCTATGTTTTTATTCATTGTCACCCACCAAAGTATTGACTCAAATCCTGCAGCTATTTGATCTCTGGCTTTAAATTTATCTGGTACTCCTTATGGGACTCCAGTTACATCTAAATAAATGTGAGAGTCACAAGACCCATAAAGGGCTGCCCTTGTTTTACGATACTGTATTTTTCCTCTCTCTGGTTGATGAAATGCCAGGGTGAAAGTGATAGCCAATTAAACTAGAGCACACGTGCTGCTCCAGTTACTTGGCAGAGAATCCAGTAAAGGCCCACCACAATACCACCATACATCTGCTCAGGGATGAACAAGGGCTGACTGATTGGTAAGGTCTTGGAAAGTCTTAAGCTCACTGCATTCTTTCAGGTCTCCAAGAAACACTAAGTTTCCTCCCTGTCGTGAGAGACAAGAAGTGAACTTAGTGTTGTGAGATGGAAGCTGGATGGCCTTCGGGGGCTGACCTGCAGAGTGTTGAACTTCGGGATATAGCAGAGAGAGAGAGCTTGGCATGACTTGTTACCCCAGGCTGTGTAATCCTGGAAAAGAGCTACCATGCAGCCCATGCCTGGTCGACTGGAGGACCACCCCAGTGGAAAGGGGTCAATCTGGGCCTCTGGTCTGCCGTCTGCTCAAGCATAACAATTGCTTTTGTTTAATGTGTGGATGGAATATTTGATCTATTCCAACCAGGCATTTGCATTTTGATATCCTGTCTCTATTGCTAAAATTTGTTTTAAATCATTTACTTCTACAACGTCTACTTTGGTCCTATCATTAGATGGAGGAGGAACAACCGTTTCATTGTGAGAGGTTTTGGAAGAAGGCTTAGGGGAAAGTGCAGGCAGTGGGGGATCAATGAAATATATTTCAAAGGATCTGATAGAGTCTGTTCCTGAAACCTCATCCCCCATACCATAAAGCCGGCTTAAAGAAGGGAACCAGCTTAGAGAAGGGGAAAAGCTTTGAGGGTTTGGGATAATAACTTGTATTGGATTGCACTGCTTTAGGTGACAGCTAGGTGAAGCTGTTCCTTTAGTAAAATGAATGTATGGCTTTAGGAAATTACAACTACTGGTTGAGGCAGCCCATCCTTGCTCTTTAGTGGTCCACAGAACGTTGGACCAACTGCGGCATAAAAGCTCCGTCTATGGGGGGCAAGACTCGCAGTTGACACTGGGGTCCTCATTGAAATCTTCCCAGACTAAATGATCCCAATTCACTAATGTCCAGTCTGAGGAGAACCAGGAAGGACAGAGGTGCTTTTCTGAAGTGGAGAGCTGTCTTTGACTTAAAATGTCTCCACAGGATGTAACACAGCAGGCATCAAATGTAATTGTTTGAGGTGAAATTGACTTGGTTATATTAATAACTAGGTGGTCAGCAATAGAGCGAGGAAAGAAGTAATAGAATGGATGAAAGAAAGCTAAATTTTTCTTAGCTTTAGTTTGGTAGGGTTTTCCCCTGGGACTATGGCCCATGACTCTGGAGGGGGCGGTGCTTTCTTGACTCGGGTGTAATGGGTCCATCCATTTTCTGCTATTCGGACTGTGGTTTCAGTAGTTAGAAGCATTAGGTAAGGTCCTTCCCAGGCTGGTTCCAGTTTTTCCTTCTCTCCAACTTTTGATGAGGATGTGGTCCCCAGGCTGATGTTGGTGTACTGGAAATTCTAGAGGTGGCACCTGTGCTAAAAGACCTTTAGTTCTGAGGAAAGATAAAATGGAAGATAAACCAAGTATATAATTTCTGAGAAACTGATCTTTTGTTTCCAATGTAGGAAGATCAGTAGTAGAATGTAGATAAGGCGATCCATAAAGCATCTCTTAAGGGGCTAGGCCTATGTCTTTTCGGGGAGCAGTTCAGACTCTTAACATGGTAATAGGCCTTTCTACTTTCCCTAATGAAGATGGGTGCCAGGCGTATGATATTCCCACGTTACATCCAGTACCTGGGATAATTTCTTAATGACATGTGCAGTGAAATGAGTCCTATTATCTGAATTAATGTTTTCTATTAATCTAAACCTGGGTATAATATTTTCAACTAATGCCTTGGCTACATTATTAGCAGTTGTACTTGAAAAGGGAATAGCTTCTACCCAATGAGTTAGGTGATCTACTACTAATAATAAATACTTTAGACGACCAATTGGAGGCATCTCTGTGTAATCAATCTGGATAGTTTGGAATGGCCTTAAGCCTGGACTCCTTCCCCCAAGGTGTAATCTTTTACTAAGCAACTGTCTGTAACCCATTTGGCCAGGGCATAAATTCCTATAAATTCCTATGCACCCATAAACTCTGAGGACTGCATCACACATGGCTTGGGTCCCACAATGGGTCCCTTGATGCAGCTGGAACAAGATTTCCCTTATAAGGGGCTTGGATAACATTTCTCTCTCGTCTAGCAATGTCCATTTTCCTTCTAAATTCTCTTTAGCACCTATTTTTATTAGTTTTTAGACCAAAGAAAGCCAAACACCATTTTATATTTGACAATGCTTCCTGTATGATTTTATACCAGATAAGCTAAATTTCACCTTTATATTAGTGTGCCATTAATGTTAAACTCAATTTTTATAAAACCTTGTAGGCATGTTTATCCAATTTTAATGTCTGGCCATAAGGTAAAAATTTTTATAGACTCTTTTTAAGCCTTTATAATTTTTGTTAAAGAACAGTTTAGTGCTTTAAGAAAAACCCATTGTGCTTTTATTTTAATGTCCAGGTTACAGAAAAACTGTACCAGTCAGCCTGAGCTCTTGTTATTTGAGTAACTTCGCAAGGAACTTGGGTACCCTCTTTAGTGAAAATCATAATATTCGGAGACTTTTTTGCATACTAGGAATAGGAAAAAGTGTGTGAGAGGATAACCAGAGAATCATGTTTTCTGGACAGGGCACACTGTACTGCACACTGTAATACACAGTAAATGTATTACTATAAGCAGTAATATATTTAAAAAGTGTGCCATCTGGGTCAAAGAAAACAAAAAACAAAACACCACAAAACCTGTATAGGGAATCCATTCTGCTATTTTCTAGCTTTATAATCTTGCACCATATTCTTAATATTTCTTTACCTTATTTTTATCATATGTTAAATGAAAGGAATAAATATATCCTACAGATATTTTAAAGCTTAAAAAGATGTAAAACTATTACCACGTTTCTTGTTGTACAATGTTAACTCAGTTGTAATTAGTACTAGTACCACAATATATCATGTGTTGTATGCATAAAATTAGAATATGCAAAAATATTGTAAAATTTTGGAAGCGTATTATTGTAAAAAGTTTTACTACTTTTTTATACTTATATTTTTTACTTATACTTTTTTATATTTAATTTTTTTCTTATACTTAAATGTTAATGCATACTTGTTTTATTTTCATTTTGTTATTTCTTAAATAACTTGGAACCCTTTGGCTCAGAAACATTTTTTTCCTTTCACTAATAGGCATTATTGAATCCCTTTAGGAGACTCTAAAGACTGAAGTCTGGAAAACAATCAGTTAACATTATACCAGATTGTGACTAGAACCCATTAAAAAATACAGGAATAGCCTTGAATGCTATAAAAGAGGAAAAGCCTAAAATAGCCTGTAGTGGTGACTCCCCAAAAATCTTGGTCTTGTAAGTGATCAAGGAGGGGTAAATGTATGATGAACTCTAACGTCTTGAAATAGGGTTCTGTCATTTTCAGAGCCTACTTTGGGCAATTTAAAAATGAAATGTCAACTGAATTTAAAAGTCCACATAGAAAAATTATAATATCTTCCAAGTACTAATATAAAAATACTCTAAGAAGACAAGATCATGAAAATCTAGGGGGAAAATGTTTTATACTAAGATTCAGACTCCTACTATCACGAAGATAAGTGGTAGAGAATTATAACTCATCTCTGGTTCCCCGGATTATTTTATCAGTATTGAACATAAATTAACATAGGCAAATACAAAACACACCAGTAGATAAATTTGTTCAGGTGGTTGTTTTTTCATGAAGAACATATATTAAGCAGCCACTGTGAAGAAGGATTTGTGAAAGTGTTGAACGTAAATGCCTTCTGCTGGGTAATGCCCTTTTACATTTTACTGTATCTTTCACACCATTCATAGATGTGTCTTCATGTGCTGTCAGATATATAGTGCAGTAGAAAATGCATTCTTATCTAGATCGATCATATATTGTATATCACATATCATATACTTATAAATAGATCTATTATCTCTGTGGCTTAGAGATATGCACCTATCATTACTCCAATGTTGGTGTGAGCAGTACTGTTTTCAGAGGGAGAGATAACAGTAAATTAACCACTTACAAGGCAATATCATTTTCTCAATATCATCAAATTCTATATCTTAAGAAGTTTTAAAATAAAGAATACAAAGTAGGAAATTTAAAAAAATACAATGGAGAAAGAATATTTAAAATCAATAAAGTTTATTTCATGAGTTTTTATTATCATTACAGTTTACTTCACATCAATCAACTGACCTTTCCCATAGGTCAAGTTGATTTGCTTTAAGATTACAGTGAATCCACTTGTAAGTGTATAGAGACAGGGCTAAAGTGGTAACAGTGTCATAAGTTTACTCTGTTTCTAGGAAAGAGCATTTCTTATGACTACAAAAACCTGACCAGGCTTCAGATACCGACTCTTCAGTTTTGACATAGCTGCCTTCACTTCTTTGTTTCTTAGCGTGTAGATTACAGGGTTTAAAATAGGCGTGAAGATGGTGTAGAATACAGCAAGGACTTTGTCAACTGAGTAACTGCTGAAGGGCCACACGTAGATGAAAATGCACGGTCCAAAGAATAAAGTGACCACAGTGATGTGAGCAGTCAATGTGGAGCGGGCCTTCGCCATGCTCGCAGAGGAGCGATTCCTAACTGTAACAAGTATTACAGTGTAGGAGACAACCAAGAGGAGAAAGGAATTCAGAGAGAGAAAGCCACTATCTGCAACTATTAGTAGGCTGACAACGTAAGTGTCTGTGCAGGCTAACTTGGTCACTAGAGGAAGGTCACAGAAAAAACTATCTACCTTATTAGGACCACAAAATGGCAGGTTAACAGTGAATGCTAACTGGCTGGTAGTATGGATGAAGCCCACAAACCAGGAAATGAGGACGAGCACAACACATACGCGGCGGCTCATGATTGTCATGTAGTGGAGAGGTTTGCATATAGCAACATAACGGTCATAGGCCATGGAAACTAGGAGCACCATTTCACTGCCAGTGAAGAGATGAACAAAGAAAATCTGGGCCAGGCAGGCATCAAAAGAAATAGTCTTGCGCTCAACCAGAGAGTCTGCAATCATTTTAGGGGTAGCAAAAGAGGCAACACATACGTCTATAAATGACAGGTTTGCAAGCAGAAAGTACATAGGGGTGTGAAGGTGGGAATCTGAGGTCACAGTGAGGATGATGAGAAAGTTGCCCAACAGAATTGCTAGATAAAATAGTGAAAATATAAGAAACAAGAAAGGTTGGAGCTCTCTTGAACTAGACAGTCCCAGCAATACAAATTCTGTCACCCGAGAATGATTTGTCTCATTCATTAATTTTGGAAGGGACTTAGTTTCAGTTACCTGAATAGGAGAGAAACAGAGGTCAGTTAATGAAGTGAGCATGGGTTTGATGTTCCAGTTACACTTAAACTTTTCAGAATTGCAATTCCTATTCCTATTTATGTGTCTGGGTTTTCATGAATTATTACAAATTATACAGCTAATGCAGCTAAGTATGGAAGGTTGAGTTAAAAGGGAGCATTGTCAAGGAGATGTTCAACCAACTTGGATATCTAAATACATGAATTTAAGAAATAAATCGACAATTTAAAAATGAATTTGAGCATCTGAAGTTTTTGTGACACTACAGAAATCCAGTCTAAAAATCTATAGAGACAAAATCTAAACCAATTTTTCTGAAGTAAATGATGTACAAATTTTTTAAACATCTGCCACAGAGGAAGATAATTTCACAAACTTAATGATGACTAAAAAAGTTAGACACAGAAGAGTATACACTGTGTTGGTCTATTTCAATGAAGTTCAAAAATGGCAAAACTAAGGTGTAGAAAAACCACATAGCAGTTATCCTTAAGGGACAGGAAGTGGAAACGAGAGGGGCTTCTGAAGGGTTGGTAATATTCTTTCTTGATGTGGTTGATAGTTACATGGGAGTGTTTACTTTATGAAAACTTACTGAAATACGAACTTTTGCTTTTTTCACTTTTGTATACATAAGTTGCATAATTATGAAAATTAAAACAAGAGAGAAGGAGAGGCAGCATTAGATTTGTGTAAGAGAGCTCACAGGAGGAATCATTGCCTTAAGTGATTACATCTTATTTCTTCTCTACAGTTAAAAATTATATAAACTACAGTACAAAACCCTGGCAAAATTGAAGGCCCCAAATATTATTGAAACTCTTTTATGATTCAGCTCTTCATGGAGTTCTACTTTATCGTGAAACCTAGCACACTGGTTCCTTTCAATTAATCCCTGAAGCTATGAAGCTTCTTTAAACTTACACATTGGTGTTATTAACCATAGACATTTTATTGAGCTATGATTGACATTTGATTTGATGTGATGTGGCTTAACAATTTATAAGTTATATTGCTTACTACAAATACTAATATAACTAATAAGTTATATTATTAGGAATTCAGACCAGGAAAAATCTGATTTTTCTTTTCTACTCAGTTACTCTATATTCTATGTTATCAGAACTTTCTTCCTTTTATGTTATTTTTATTTGTAGAAGCTATTTAGAACTTAGAAAGGTTTATGGTAAATAAAAAAACTAAAATGTGAATTGTAAAGGAGCATTATATTATCTGATTTTGAAGAATCTTTCTCTACATCTTAATCAGCTCTTGGGAGAGGATCTCTCATATTTCACTCATTTCTAACCACTTGCAATTTTCGATACTAATGTCTTCTTAGATCATAACTGCAAACTGCTTAGTCTCTCCTTGGGTTAGACTGGAGGGTTTATGTATAAGAACAGAACATGTGATAAATAGTTTTAACTCCCAGAAACCAAATTTAGACTCACCTCTGTATTTCAAATCTCCAATTCTCTCCCCAAAAATACAAATTTTCTGCATTATTTGCAGGTGATGTGTTCCAAGACCCCTAGTGGATGCTTGAAACCACTGATAGTACTGAACCCTATGTAAGCTATATTTTTCCTATACACGCATACCTAAGATAAAGTTTAATTTATAAATTAGGCTCAGTGAGCGATGAACAGTAATAACTAACAATAAAATAAAAAATTACAACGATATACTGTAATAATGTTTATGTGGATGTGTTTCTTTTTTTTTTTCTCTCTCTCTTTCAAAATAGGTTAATGTTTTTGGACCACAGTGGACCTCAGGTAACTGAAACTGCTGAAAACAAAACCATGGATAGGGGGGACTCTTGTATTATCACAGATTGTATCAAAACTATGGCTCTAGGCTTTTTAGAAGAGTTTAACAGGTGGAACTTGTAGGTAAAGCAGGCTACAGAAAAAAATATACCAATCTTGCTTTCTTCTCACTTCCCAGAAGCCCTGGCCCTTCAATCCTGTGACATAAATACTGCATTGAATCCCTAAGGCATGAATAGAAGTAAAATCTAACAAAATCAGTGAATAAGAGTTCATAGGTACGCCATCAGAAAGAGCAAAGCCATAAGCACAGGCAATGAGTGTCCTAGGGAGACCCTCCGGTGCTACAGCAGATAAGGGCATCAGGAGACATTTCTGAGCACAGAAACTTCCTGGCGTCTTTCAGCTAAAACACCTAATCCAACTGTGTGAAAGACAGTCATAAGAATCATCCTCCCAGTAGCTTTTCTGACTCTTCTGCAGAGCTCTATTGTTCCATTTTCATCGGCTTCTTCAGGTGCTCAGAAAAAGAAAAGACCCTGTTTTTCACGGAGAAAAACATTGGGCAAATTGATTCAATCAAGAACTTTCTTTTTTTTTTTTTTTTTTTTTTTTTTGAGACGGAGTCTCGCTCTGTCGCCCATAGTACGTAAGATGAAAGTGGCGGAACAAATGAACTCTAAACTTGTTTCTTACCTAAATCCATTCTTTTTTAGTTCACTTGCTTTATATACATTTAAATGCCTGCTTTTCCCCAGGCACTGTGCTATACACTGGTGATAAAGCAGTTAGGTTTACAACTTGCCTCCCTAAAAATTATTTGCTAATATTAATAACCCTTTGTTTATTTAGACAAGCTGATGAATTCACTTCCCTTTACCCCCAGTACATTCCCTATTAGATAAAATTGACTGTCTTTTTTCCCAATAAAATCACTGTACTTCAGTGAAAACAAAGCTATTATTTTAAAATGTTCTATGTTGTATCATTGGGTAACTGTGTGACGCTGAGCAGTTCCTTTAGCCTTTCAGAGACTATTATTATCAAATATTAAATATTGAGACTATTAACCTCAAAGAGACACTAAACATATTTCTTAAAGGATTATGTAGATGAAAATTATTTAACCAACTGTAGTGACTAAATATATGTATGCATTCTTAGTAATGTATTATTTTAGATCAGAAGTAAATATTTTCTCATAATTTTACATTATATGGTCTGACTCACACAAGAATGAGTTTCCAATAAGTAGATGTGCTTATGTAAAGACGTTTTTTAAAAAGAAGTTCTTGAAAATTTGAAGATGGATTAATGCATGTATAAAGGGCTGTGCTAGGCAAACCTCAGTTTCCTCCTATTTTAAATTCTGTCAAATGAATCTTGCCTCAATATTTCTATCTCAGATATTATGACTGACAGATGAAGTGAAATAAATAGGTATCATATGCAGGGGTCACCAAACTCTACCAGTTCAAAGAGGTATCTTTCACAAACTTCCCAATATTGCTGTTCCCCTGACCCTCCCACTCCAAATGCAGATCAGAGAAATAGCAGTCTGTGTTATAGACTATATTAGAGACAAACACTGGTGCATGGTCTTCAGAAGGATGCTGACAAAACACTTTCACTTACCTAAGATGAAATGGAAAGTGTGGAGCTATCCTATAATCTATAGTCATTAATGCTTGAGAAGAATTTCATTGCTATTCCACATCTCCTAAGAAAACAGAACAATCCCTGAGGAGATAAGTCATAAAGAATTTACTTCTAAATAAGAAAGAAGTGGATTCAGGGTGTCTGTAGCTGAGTTGTCTTCAAGCAGGTGAGACAGGTCTGGATGCTGTATCTTCATCTAAGTCTTAGGCAACTAGAGGAGCATTTGGAGCAGTCAGGAATCTGAAAGGAGAAAAAGAGTAGACTGAAAAGAAATGCTGTAAACAAAATCTTCTGCTTCACAGTTTTGCAAAGGATTCAGCCTCACTGGAGCTATAAACTGGAGAATGTTTTAGGAAGTACCACCAATAATAGTGATTTTTGTATGATTTGGGACCTGTAAAGACTCTGAAGTAGTGGGAATATTGCATCATTTTGTCAAAAATTTCATCAGGGAAGATTTGGGGTTTTCTTCCTTTCATCTGACTTTCCCTTGATTCAAAGTGTAGGTGACTTTTTACTTGCTTCTCACAGATGTTATAAATATATATATAATCATTATGTAACTAAATCAAATATCTTGTACAGTAGTGATATAATGAATTTGCCATAATAGTAGTAATATTTTACAATATATTTTAAGGAATTATACATGGGATAGCTTTCGTTCACAAATAGAATATATATCCAGCAAGAAATGTTGGATTTCATTAGTGGTTTATATTACTACTTTCTAGTCATCGATTAAGAAGGATCATTCTAAACTATAAGCTTTAAAAACCTGAAGTTCAAATCAATGGATGCTGTCCGACGACCTTATGGACTATTAACAATGTATTAGCCATATTGAGTACAATGTACACTACTTGTGTTTGTGGGTGATAGGTGTGCTAAAAATCTTATACTTCACTACTATATAATTTATCAGTGTAACCAAAAACCACTTGTATCCTAAAACCTATTGAAATAAAAGAATGTATTAATTTTTAAAAATTAAATATATATATTAGCCTAGGATATAGAAAATATATTTTCCAATTCTATCTTTCACTAAATAACTTTATAATTGTAAGCAAATTACATGCCCTCCCAGGTGCTCTGTGTTTCCTGAAAAAAGAGTAGAATTCCCTCTCCCAAATGCATTCTCGGGTTTTTGAAAAACATGATCCAAAATGAGTAAGTCAATTCAAAGATAAGAATAATTATAAAAGATTATATTGAAATTAATGTATATCCAATTAAAATGGTAAAACACCTGGTTTTAGTAAAGTCATGCAGCAATTACTCTTCGGAGTTAGGTATTGGGACAACAGTAGGTAAAATGGGCACAGACTATTCAAAGATTAATTTAAAACAATATGGAGGAAAATTGACTGTCTCTGGTCTCTGTTCTCTGTTCTGACTCAATCCCTGTCCTTGGCCTTAAAATATCAGCACCTACCCAGGAAAACAAACTTCACCGGGAGCCATTGGATGAGGGACAAAGATAGAGAACCCATGTCTTTCCAGACTTCAGTCTTCACCCTTTACACTCAAGTATCAGTATACTCAGCACACTGATATAAGAAAAGCCATCACAATTATTACAAACTAATTGGGAATTTGACGTCACTGGGCTGTAGTGACCAAGAGACCCAGAGGAGAGTTGCAATAGCAGAA